TCCTATATGTTGTACTGGCATTATCATTTACTTGTAGAAACTGTCTAATTTCTTCTTTAATTTCCTCTGTGACCTATTGGTTGTTCAGGAGGGTGTTTTCAATTTCCATGTGTTTGTGGGGGTTTTACGGTTTCTTATTTTATTGGTCTCCAATTTTATTGCACTATGGTCTGATAATATACAGGGGGTAACTTCCATTCTGTTACATTTACTTAGACATATCCTATGAGCTAGCATGTGGTCTATTTTGAAGAATGACCTGTGTGCTGCCAAAATGAATGTATATTCTGATTTTGTAGGGTGGAACACTCTGTAAACATCTATTAAGTCCATTTGTTCAATAGCTTCATTCATTTCTAGAATTCCATTGTTAATTTTTTGTCTAGATGATCTATTTGTGATAGTGGGGTATTGAGGTCCCCCACTACAACTGTATTAGTGGTTATTTGGTTTTTCTTGTCCATTAGTATTTGTTTTGTGTAATTGGGGGCATTTGTATTTGATGCATATATATTTAGGATTGTCATCTCCTCTTGGATTGTTCCCTTCACAAGGATGTAGTGACCATTTTTGTGTCTCTTAATTAGATTTGGTTTGAAATCTACTTTGTCTGCAATAAGATTGCTACACCTGCTTTTTTCTCAGTTCCTGTCACGTGGAGAACTGTTTTCCATCCTTTTACATTCAATCTGTCAATTTCCTTTTGAGTTAGGTGTGTTTCTTGTATACCACATTTTGTTGGATTTTGTTTCTTAATCCATTTTGTCAGTCTGTTTCTTTTGATTGTTGAATTGAGACCATTAACTTTGATAGTTATAATTGGTAGGTATTGACTCATCCTTGTCATGATGTTTTTCTGTTGTTGGCTTTTTTATTTCTTATATTACCCCCTTTCTCTTTAGTTTCTTACCTTGTCTTGTGGCTTCCCTCTGTTGGCCCTCATGGAGTTGTGACCTTCATTGTCTTTTTCTAGGATATTGCTTAGAATTGTTTGGAGTGCTGCTTTGGTGTTCATGAAATTTCTCAGATGTTCTTTGTTTTGGAAGTATCTAATTTCCCTATCTATTTTGAAAGATAATTTTGCAGTATACAACAGTCTAGGTTGGAAGTTATTTTCTCTTAGGGCTTGAAATACTTCACTCCAGGCTCTCCTTGATTTGAGGGTTTGTGTTGAGAAGTCTGCCATGATTCTGATGGGCTTTCCTTTGTAGATGATTTG